GTGGCTCAGTGCTTAGCTACATGCCTAGCCAGGCTGCTGTCTGCCCAGCAGCCGTAAACCTCAAAACCTTCATGGCGCAAAGAGTATTTATTCCTGAACATTGTAACATCCCTGATACTTGAAACCTAAATTAATTCCGAACCCTGAACCCGAAACGACAAACCTGGAGCAACTCGCTATCCTGCTCGCTGAAACCTAGGCCCTCAAATCCTATTGCCGGATACGAGCCCAACATATTAAAGCTCACCCTAAACAGAAAGTCTGAACCCCACACCTCAACACCCGAAACCCTAAGACCACTCGAACCCCAAACGCGGAATCATGAACCCTAAACTCCAAACCCCCAAAACTAGGTTACAAGCTCAAAACACTCAAAATCCCAAACCCGTACACTACCGCGAAACCTGAACCCCACAACCCAAATTGCAATGACGAGAGTAACAACCCCGAAACTAAGCCTGAATCCAAAATGCTGTCAAAGCCACTGCTCGACCTGGATGCCCTCCTTCTCCTGCATTCGCAACGTGGACACATGAGTTCCATGCGTTCAGGCATTGATATGGTAGGCATCCTGAGGTTGTTCGTTGTGGCTGAGTTGTTGAGTCGCTCTGAAGATTGTGGATCTTCATACAGTTCCTCGGTTGTTTTGCGGTCTAGGAATTTAGTGGCTTAACCGCTTGAGGTGCGAAAGCCTCAACCCTGCCCGATAAACCCTGAACCCCAAGCACTCACCCCTAGACAATTCTCAAGTCCAAACCATCAACCCTACACCCCAAACACCCCTACCGTTTGTAGACTCGCCTGCAGGGCTTCCTTCACGTGTCGGACGGTATTGTCCTTCCGGAAACGCGTCATGACAGGCGTCTGCAGGACGTCGCTTGCTCTCTGAGTGTCTCTTTCTCTCGCTCTCGCTCTCGATCCCCACATAAGTAAAAATTTATGGCAGAAGATATTGGCAGGTATAATAAACCACATGCATATGTGCCTGGAAATGTTCACGTACGTACATACATACCTACATACATACATACATACATGCATACATACATACATACATACTGGTGTACATGAATGCATAGCTACAGACATACAGACACAGAGATAGACCGACAGAAAGACATGCATAGCCACAGACATACATACGTACTTACATACATGCATGCATGCATACATGATATATGCAAATGTGTATATCTGTATATATATATATATTTCTATGTATGCATATCTATACATATATATATATATACACATACATGTATGTAGATACCTACAAACGAGAAGTATGTATATCTATATATATATATACACAGAAAACAAAGATTAAAGCATAGATGTAGAAATAGATACAGAGGTGAACATGAATAGAAACACACACACACACATACATGCATAGATGAGCCCATACATGCATGCATGCATGTATGCGCTCATACGTACATGTGTATGTAAACAGTAACATACTGATGCACATCAAATATAACGTTTGCACGTAGACGATGCATAGTTACACACATGCGTACGCACACCGTGATGCAGACATACATGCGCATGCTGCATACACACTTACATACAGAAATGTCTACATGCCTACATGCACATACCTGCATACATAGCGAGACACAACCTAGCAGTACGTAAGACCCAAGCACCTACCATAACATGGGATAAGATACTGTACTGCGAAGTACCAGTATGTATGTGTGTGTGTATATATATATATATATTTATTTATTTATTTATTATAACAGCACAGCATAAACCGTAAACAGTACATACAACAACACATTACAGAGCACATCCTGGCACAACATAACACAGCACGGCCAGACACAACACAAAACACGACGAAGCAACACTATAGCGTAGCAGAGCCTAGCCTAGCATACAGAAGCATAGCATAGCATGGCACAGCATATCCTGCCGCGGCATAGCATAGCATAACACCACATAGCACAGCACAACATACCGTAGTAACGCACTGCCCAGCCTAGCGTAGCATAGCATAGCAGAACAAGAAGACCGACATGACATTTTACGTTCAGCCTACAGTGTCCACATTTCTAAGCCAGCGCTGCAGAACATGCGTCAACATTGAAAGACATTCTACAGCAGAGCTTGTCAAGGCCAAGATCTATCCACTGCTAGGAAATTTAAGAAATTCAGATCCGAGAAAGATCTGGTGACTATGAAGGTATTCTTCCTCCGAGCTCTTTATAGCATGCCTCAATCAGCAAAGCATGTCAGCATGTCCAACTCACCCTCAGCCTTGAGCTTCGAAGTTGTTTCGGCCCCGAACGACTCAGGCCTCGGGGCCCTCAGCATTTGTTTTCAGCATTTACGTTTTGAAACTTTGGGGCTTGCTGGTACCGCTACCCAAGCTTTAACCCATGCACCTTATAATCTGGAGTTTGCAGGAGCTGTTCTTCGGCGGTCCAGCTCAAAATTGAAGTTCGTCTTTCTGCCCGTCAGGGTCTTGATGAAGATCTGCATCGTCCTTTGCAGATTGAAAGTGAGAGGCTCAACCGCAAACCCAAACCTTATGGGTTTTGAATCTTTTCATGTTCTGCTGTGGGCAGGGTTATGGCAACAAGAACCGACGGTGGTACAAATGCCTGTTGCGAAGCTGGAAGCCAAGGACTGGCTCTTCTGTCGCTGCCAAACTGCCGCTGGCGAGTATGGTCTGGGTGAGGAGTGACCGGTGCAGGGGGATAACAAAGCAATCGATTGACTATGCCGACGAACTGTATGCTTTGCCGGTATTCGCAACATCCTGCTTCTGACTTTCATCACTGTACTTCAACGTGTTGCTTCCTCTAAACCCGAAAACCAACACTCACAGCCACCTATCTCCGAAGCGGCCTCAGTAGTGCAGCGATTGGAAGATGCCACCCTCTCGGGACTGAATTGAAGCACCTGGCAAGTGTTGTAGTGTTGACTTCCGGTCGTGAGGATGCCAATGTAGTGTCTGGGATCACGAATCACTGCTTCCTTGTGGTTTACCTCGTTCCCGGGTCAATCCAAGAGCTGGGCTGACAAGGTTGAGCTACGTCCTGAAAGTTATGTCCGGAACACGCTAACAAGCTTTCTACTCAGAGTCTCTCTCTCTCTCTCTCTCCCTCTCCGTCTCTCTTCTTTCTTTCCTCGGCTCCTTTGGGCTCCTTTGTAAACCCCTGGGGTTAAGGCATAGGGAGCTCATGTGATTCGTACTCACTGTTGTGTCTAAGCTTTCTGCGGCCAATGACAATCCTGAAACTATTGAGGCGGTTTCGGTTTGCATGCAGGTTTCCGGATGCGGTGCAAGCTTTGGAATCAACATATAGCTCGTTAGCCCAAGACGGGAAGACCATGGATTGCACACCCTAGCCAAGTTTGAGGCTTCGTGGCGATGGCCCTCCTGACCCGAGCCCAAAGCTCTGAGATGGTGCCTGAAAGCGTGGGGTTCAAGGTTCACGCTGTCGTGTTTGGAGTATGTTCTACTGAACTCGTACCACCACTGCACAGCTACAGGTCGCCCCTTGACTGTCGAAAGCACCACGCCCCAAGGCTTAAGATGGACTCTTGTCCTGCAGACCTAAGCCCTGCCCCCAAAACCCTGCGCTTTACGTGCGAGGTCCCCCCGCTGCTAAAAGCAAGGTTTGGGGTCTCATGGGAACCTGGGAGCACTAGGGCCCGAGGATTCAAGGGTTTCGGATTAGGGGTCTTCGGAACAATTAAGATTTCCTTGGCAATGAGGCTCCAAGGGTCTAGGCAAGGGCTTGCAGAGATAAGGATCTCCGAGTTTAAGACCCTTGAACCAGGGGTTTACGGGTTCAGGCTCTGGCCCCATCCTCCTTTGCATCAACCGTCAAGAATTGCACCATGAACCTCACAGCAGCACCTAGACCTGAACCGAGAGCCCCCCAACATCCGGAAAAGAACTGAATCCTAAAGCCTGTATTTGCAGTAACCATTACACGATGACAATCACAACAGCACGTGGAGTGACCATAACACAAGAAAAGGGAACATGGAAGTAGGTATGCAACGCCCAACTTGACGAAACAGCAACCACCTTTGACTTGCAATCATGCCGAACATAGTAGTGAGAAGCGCCATCATCCCTAACAGAAAAGTTGCCTGGGATATTCTGGGGTCACCACGTTCGATGTAATGCTAAATAAAATCAAGTCAATCGTCGCCTGTCGTCATCATGATATGCAAACGTATAATGGTACACGGCAGAAAACATCGCACACATGTACATAAGGCACGAACCTAGGAACTGCAACTACGGTAGGCTATGGGTCTCTGCCGAGGCTGGAGTCGAACGCCCTGGGAAGGCTGCATGAGGTCACAGACCTCGCAAGTTTGCAACTTTTCGTGTGGCACCTTGACGCAGCTGGCGCAGCTTTGCGTCGTAGGTGGTGCCGCTTGAGCCACAAGATGTTTTGATATGAAGCTTTGGACACGGGATGGCGGAGCTCACCCCGTTTACATTGATACCAAACTTCCGCCTGATTGAAACACCAAGCAATTAAAGCACATGCTATTGTAGTGGTGGGCTCGTCTTCTTAGAAAGGCTGCATTCAGCTGCTGGTACGAGGAATAATGAATGGTACGAGCAACTAGTTAGCAGTACTAAGAAGTAGAAGTAGTAGTAGGAGGAGGAGGAGGAGTAGGACCCTGAGAGTAGGAGTAGGAGTGGGAACAGGAGCAGGAGTAGTAGAAGTGATGATAACAATAATAATGATAATAGTAGTAGTAGTAGTAGTAGTAGTAGTAGTAATAGTAATAGTAGCAGTAGCAGTAGCAGTAGCAGTAGCAGTAGCAGTAGCAGCATAGGTCGAAAGCCATGTAAAGTCATCGCAAGAGCAGACACATGCAACAACGATAGCAAGAACAGAGTAGTTTCCGTGGTGGTACAAATCAAAAATATCTTTGCAACACGCTCTTTGGTTTGGGTGCGGAGGTGTCGTGCAGCTTCGACCGCTCGTTGATCTCATTCCGTCAGTGGCTCGATGCAGGAGTGCTACGACTTCATCGAGTGGCTCTTAGAGGGCAACAACACACAGACGGCGCCAGAGGTGCATCGCCCGAACGCACGTGAAGCCGTCCGAGCGTCACACATACACAGGGCAGTACGCCCGCATCGGCGTCGCGCTTGATCAAGGGACAGACAGCGACGTCTCAGACCTCTTTTTACACAGCCGAAATAGGCACCCTACTTCAATCTAATGATATGCTCCGACACAGACAAGGATGTTTGCCATGTCTGTGTAACGGCTGCCTCACCGCTGAAGCAACTTCCAGCCTTTCAACGAGCTGAAATTTCTAGCCTGCGTCTCAGCCGTCGTCACAAGTTTGCCCATGATGCTGGCAGGAAGCCTAGTTCTGCCACGACCCAAGCTTTCCAGGCGCTCGCAGATGCCAGCAGCATCAAGGGAGCTCAGCAGACCATCCACGAAACGATGCCAGGGCCTGCCGTGCATGCAGTCTTGTAGGCTGCAACGACTGAGAGCTAGGCGCCTTGTGGCTTTTGGCAATATGCAAGACGGATTTCGACTTGCACGGTTTTGGAACGGGGCTCTTCCTTGTTGGGACGAGGTCGACGGTTCCCACGCAGTGTGCATCCAGTTTTTGTTCATAGGGGTATAGCAGGCGGAAAGTTGTCGGCTTCTGTGGAGGATCTGCGCCCGGCCATGCAAGACCGAGTCGCTGCAGTGCTACCCGAACTGCGCAGACACGGGTGGGGCAGGATGGGAGTCGCTCATGTCACGCTAGGCTCGGGGAGTCGTACAGTTCAATGCCATCCCAGATATTCAGGTCAACTCTGCACATGAGCCCCAGGAGCTGGCAGTGGTTCGTCGGAGATGAGTGGAGCCCCCACGAGAGCTTTCGGGGCTGTGGCGACCCTCCTGGCTGCTGCTTTGATCTGCTGAACTGTGTTGCGTACAGAGAGGCTCGGAAGTGCCGGGTTAGAGGTGAATCCAGTGGACGGCAAACTTGTAGAGCGGTGACAATATGTTATCTTTAAAGACTTCACGGGCCTGCGGTTGGGGGGCTTAAGTGAATATTGGGTTCAGGTTCTGCTTGTGTTCCGGCCTTCGAAATGTGGCTGTCCTGCCATCCAATTGCATGCAAGGCTCCTGGGTCCCGCAGGACCCTCGCTTTTTGTTCGCATGCCAGACGAGCTGCGCATATAGCCGCCGAGCCACTGTACATGCATGGCTCGGCAGATGCACGGCGCTGGTCGATTGCTGTGGAACATACTATTAAATGTGGCGATCAGAGAGGCGGACATCCTAGTCGTCATTCCCCTCGCCCCGAGTTACCGTTATCTTTACCATGTTTTTTGTCACCGAGTGATCATCATCATTGTCATTTCCTCAAAGGTGACGGCGCCCGTACGGGGCCGTTCGTTTGGAGACATGTTGTTGTAAGTGCAACACTGCGGCAGGGGCCAACACTCGAGTAAAACCTGCGTTTTGCATGGGCGAGAACGTCATGAACGGGATATGCATTTTCGCTCGGCTTTCGTGCGATTTTTTTCGTGTAGGTCTGGGGAAGTTCAAAGTTTTAAGATAATTTTAACATCTCAATCCTGCTCTCGCCACAACGCGGGTGCGTTCACACTGTATTCATCTTGTGTTTTCGGAGGCCTTTTTTCGCAGAGGGGGCTCTTGGCAAGGGACATTTACAAAAGAAAAGCCGGAAGATCCTGCTCTAGCCACAGCGCGGGGGCGTTTGAAACCTTTTCTGCGCGAGCACAGTCATGTTACCGGTGTCGCGCTTAGATGGCAAGGCCTTGAAGCTTCTATGAACATGAATCAGCAATGCATGAGGTACGTGACAGGTAGGAGTTTTTTTTGTGCCCTAATATAGGAACCTTATTTATGTCTGACTGTATAGTACTAACCCCGATCCGAAACGTGTCTGAAATGTGCTTGAAGGCACGGCCACGTACAGGCGTCGCCGCTTTGAACTACTGTTAAAACAAAAAACCATAGTCTTCATCACCGTCACACCGATTTGTATAGGGCTCATCACTGCTGCCATGATCATGTGAGTAGAGAGGACTGCAAGCCAGTCACAAAGGCATGCAGATTGCGTTGACTGAGGGATTAGCCTGGGCTTACGGCAAACCGATAGAGTCGAGCACAAAGACAGAGCAGACAGCCTCCTTGAAGCGCAAGGGCTGTAGGTCTGCAGGCTGTTCAACCAGCATCGGAATTCGTCGGCGGATGCACAGGTAGTTCTTGGCCCAGACGTGCCTTCCACAACTGATTTGCATACTGTAAGCGAGAGTGACAACTTTTCGCTTGCGGATGCGAACATGCCAAGTTGAACGCACGCAAGGTTCAGGTAACTTGTCGAGCTTCTCCAATCAGCATGGTGCGCTGTTGAATAATTCTAGCGCTACGCCGCCCGCCTCGGCGCGACAGTACCAGTACGCGAGTCATTTTAACCACCAGCGCTGTCACAGCCCGATTGCCGAGAAAAAAGAGTTCGGTGGAGGGGGGAGAGGGGAGGGGGGGCGGGGGGAGTGGGGAATGGGGAGAAAGGAAAAGAATAAGGGGAAAGTGGATGAAGCAAGAGATAGGGAAGAGAGGCAAGAAGGGACAGGAGGAGCAGGGACGGCGGAAGGGGGGAGCGGAGGGATGGATGGATGAAGATGGGAAGCAAAGGGTGTCGGTGTCACCGCACTACGTGCTTGTGTGTGTTTAACTGTTTGGGATAGCCCAGACGAATGAAGAGGTTTGGCTGGTTGGATCACCAGTACGTGAATCATTGGGGTAGCGACAGAGAAAGGTTGAAGGACAACTTTGGTGAAAGGAGGAGGGGGCGGGGGGGGGGGGTTGTGGAGGGTGAAATACTGAATGTTACACATCCAAGTGCCTGTCTGTTTCACGTATCACTTGCATGTACCCATGCCTGTCCCATGCCTGTTGCTCAAGGTTCTAGCGGATTACTGATCTACAATTGTGCGCCTGTAGCAAAAGAGACACCTGTGTTTGCCTGTGTTCCTGTACGCCTTGCGAGGGGATACACGCCCAGGTTACATCCCAACGTGGTAACGGAACTCCCAGGAAGCGGAAGCTTCACACAGATGGAGGTACCGTAGGTACGTTCCATCCTCGTGGAGGCAACCGGAATACCCTGTGTGCTTCACTCTTCTGAAGGTGATCAGGTGAAGATAACCGGATGAGAAATCTCCCGGGCTCGATCCAAGGATAGTGCAATGGCTAGCCATTCTGCAGTGCCATTTGAGCATGGCGATCTACACGGAAGTGAATCTTTTGCAACGTATCACCGACATCTCCAAGAATGACACCGGCCTTCAGCATTCCAGCAGGTGACCACGATAGTACCGCCGTCTTATGATGGGCGAGGAAGTTGGTTCGCCTATGAAGATGCGATCGATGACTGGTGTGATATCACTGAGTTGGAGAATGACAAGAGAGGACCAGCGTTACGAAACCGTCACGAAGGTGAAGCTGCGATTCACAAGAGGCTTCTTGACAGAGATCGCCTGAAGGACCCGAACCACGGAGTGAACTACTTGAAGAGTTTCCTGTCGCCGCTCTTCGTGAAGGGCGCAGCCAATGTGTTTCTCTACCGCTTCCAGCAGTTCATGAACCTACATCGCGGTAATGGTGATATGCTTCGTTGGATTACCAGGTTTCAACT